CTAGGAAGAAGATGTTTACAGTAATACGGTTCAGAATTTTTAATATCTATATCTACAGTTCAAAAAATAGGTAAGAAAAAAAAATCAAGACACCTCTAGTGAGAAAGGGCCATATCACCCAGTCACAAAGTTAAAATGAGAATAGTAAACCAACATGAAGGAAAATATTCAATCTCAGTCATGAAAAAAATAAAAATTAGTCCAACTGACACCTTTTGGTAATTATCTTGTTTTTTTCCAACTTTATTTTTCAGTACGGGGGATTGAACCTAGGGTGTCACACATGCTAGGTAAGTGCTTGCTCTACCACTAAGTTACATTTCCAACTCTTTTCCAACTCTTTAATTGGATAGTTTTTATATTTGTAGAAAAATAGAGAGAATAATGAATACATGCCTGTCTTATACTATATACCTATCTTAGTTCATTTTGTGCTTCTATAACAAAATACCTAAGACTGAATAATTCATAATGAGTAGAAGTTTATTGACCCTGTTTTAGGGGCTGGGAGGTTGAATAACAAGGTGCTGGTACTTGGTGAGGGCCTTCTTTCTGTGTTATAACATGGCAGAAGGGCAAAAAGAGGTGAGTGACAAAAGGGGACCAACCTCATCCTTTATAAGGAACCTCTTCCTGTGATGATGGGATTCATCCATTTATGAGGGCAGCACCCTGTGGCCTAATTAAGGTCCCAACTCTTCAAGGTCGGCCTCTCAATATTGTTACAGTGGCAGTTGTATTTCAAAATGAGTTTGGAAGAGGACAAATATTCAAACCACAGAAATACCCATATGTGGACTCAACAATTGTTAATATTCTGCTGCTTATTCATCTTTCTTTCAATACCCAGACACATTTTTCTTTTCTGCTGAACCACTTGAAAGTCAGCTGTGGTTATCATGACACTTCATCTCAAAATTCTTCAGCATGCATTTCCTAAGAATTTTCTACATAGCCAAAATACCATTATTATAGCTCAGAATATTAATTTTTTAAATGTTTAAATTGTAGTAAAAAAACACATAATATGAAATATTACCACCAAAAATTCCCCATTTTCCCTTCCTCCAAATTAATTTTAAATGAATAATAAATAATAAATTCCATATTCAAATTTCCCCAATTGTCTCCAAAAAATTTTATAGCAGTCTCTTTAATTGCTATGTCTCTTTAGTCTCTTTTATTTTAGAATAATCCCCCTACTTTTCTGGTTTTCAAAATATTGATTTTCTTTAAGAGTCCAATTCTCTTGTGGAATGTCCCATATTCTAGTTTAATCCTAATTATTTTCTTATTATTACATTCAGATTAAATATTTTGGAAAGAATACTCCATAGGAAATATTGTATACTTCTAATTACATCACACTAGGAAGAACACAATGTTTACTATAGGTGGTACTGAGTTTATTTGGTTAACATTCATGGCCAGATTTCTCTTTCATAAAAATACTCCTCTCCATTGGAATTAATAAGTAAATCTATAGTTATATTGTCACATCAGGTAAAAATTCTGTACTCTGACTGGGAACCTTTGAAACATTACTGGAAACCTCTGCAGGAGGCTCCAGTCTCCTGCCCAGAGTACAACATAGGCCTGAGGGGGAAAAACCCTAAAAGACAGAACTAAGACAGAAAGGGCCTGGGATTTAGCTCAGTGGTTCTGCCACCTGCCTCACAAGCACAAGGTTCCACATTTGATCCCTGGTACCAAAAACCAAACAAACAAACAACAACAACAAAATAAAAACAAAGAACTAAGACAGAAAATGGGGTGCCAAGATGACCAATACTGGTACAAGTGACAAACACGCTGGCAAGTCCAAGCCATTGATTTTTTTTGGTATCAGGGATCGAACTTGGGACCTTGCACTTGTGAGGCAGGTGGCACCAAGCCATTGATTTTTATTGGTAATCAATTGGGGTAAAGGCAAGCTACATGCAAGGACAGAACTATGTACAAAGACATGCAATCATGCAATTTCTATGGAAATTAATGTAAGCAAGCCTCGTAAAGGACAAGACAAAGCATTCTCAAATTAGGAACAGAATAGACAAAATATATGGTTGTAATTAGAACATTGTCTAATAAGAAGGTTGTAGCTGTGGGAATGAATTTCAGTGCAAGTTACTCTGACCTTGGCTTATAGGCTTTGGCCAGACTCACTTCTATAAACAAGCCAATTGTGAGGTTAACTCTTCACAACCTGTACTACTGACAGCCTGCTTTGGGCATAATTAATATTGCAGTCTCCTGAAACTCTGTACTCCAACAGCCTTCCATACAGTTGCTAAATTGCAGGTTCCAAAATAATGACATAGTTTGATTGCCTTAACAACTGGCTTTCAACTGCAAATTAAAACTTTTCCTTCACTTTTGCTCCCCCCAATCCCTCTTTCCTTTCTTTCTACCTTTTTCTCTAGGGCTCCAGTGCTAGAGATGAAATCCAGGGCTTCAAACATGCTAGCCAAACACTCTACCACTGAGCCAAACCTCCAGCCTTCTCATTTATTTATTATCATTATACCCTCATACATTTTTGTATTCCCTATGTTATCACCCATAACTGTCATTATTCTTGCTGGTGCTCCTGTTGTCAGATTTGGCCTGTGGGAGTCCCTTGAGTTGTGCTCTTTGACATGATCCCATTAGTCTTGGAACATGTCATTGCTTTCTAACTCAACAGAATTTTCCAGTCATATCTTGGATTCTCTCTGCCACTGATATAGAATCAGTTATTTCTCTAAGGAACTCTCATTCTTTTTAGCAGGGAAAGGTATTCAGAAACCAATATCTGGGCCCTAGGTGCGCTCATTTCTACAGATGGGCCATTGTTTTTCAGTCCTTTCAGTGTACAGACTAGGAAACATCCACTCACACCTACCAGCCCTACTCCCCACAGGAGTTTCTCCTGATCCCTCTAATTCAAATCCAACAGCACAGCATTCCTCCTATTCTACTCCCTTCCCTGTTTGCACCTCCTTACTCATAGTGAAAGCCCTTGCTCACAAAAATATATATATGTTTATTATTTTGATCTATCTACAATACATACAAAATTGTTTTAGAATTGTATCAATACCATTACTAACCACAAACCTACTATTAATTCCAAAATATTCTGTCATTTTCTTTTTTCTTAAAACATACTCCAAGAATATGCATTCAGAATAATATGTTTAAAAGTCATTTGTATTCATTCTTTCTTTCCCAAGTTATCAATTTGAGACACAGGTGGATTCATTTATTTGTTTTTATGTAATCTTACTTAATTTTACTTTTGAATCTGTTAAACAAGAATTTCAAAAGTTAAAGCAATAGGAAAAGATGTACTCAGAAGGGTCAGGTATTTAGCTCAGTGGCACTGCACCTGCCTTCCAAGCGCGAGGTCCTGAGTTTGATCCCCAGTATCAAAAAAAAAAGAAAAGATATACTCAGAGAAATCTTACACCCATCCTTTTTCCCTCCACCGCATTTGTTTCTGGATCATGGGATCCTTCAGGAAGCATGAAAAATGTTCTACACCCCTAATAGTCATGCTTTGGCATGATCAATCTCTTCACTCACTAATTATCACTCTAATAAGAAAATGCCGCCGCCTGGTGTGCAAGCGCAAGGACCTGAGTTCGATCTCCGGTACCAAAAAAAAAGAAAATGCAACCTCCTTTATCTTATTTTGCTGCTAAAAATTTAACATTATTCAATGGTAGGCAAAATGTCTAGCAACCTAACAATCAAAATACTTGTACAAGCACACAAAGGTATGTAAACAAAAATATTTATTGCAGTCCTTTTAAAAATATTGAAATATTGGAAACAACCAAAATATCCTTTAATATGATTCTGATTAAAGTGTTATCTATCTAATGCTGTGTGGCGTTTAACAAGGATGAGATAGCTGTAAAGATGAGGGGAAAGGTCTCATATATAAAGTTAAGTGAAAAAGCAAGATCCAAAACTGTGTGTCTAACCTGATTCTACTTTTGAAATGATGTAAGCATAGAAAGAACTCTAGAGAAATAATCCACAAACTCTTCACAGTGGTTATGAGGAAGTAATCATCGATGACTTTGACTTCCTAAATTATACATTTCTGGATTGTTGAATTATTTACAAACACTTATTTTGATACCAGTAGAAAACAATATATTGTTTAAGTAGGCAGAAGAGACAATGCTTGTCAGGAATGAAGCAGAGACAGTTGCAGCCACACGCGTGGCTCTACTTCCCCTGTCTGTCAACTGCTGCCTCAGTTATGGGCCGCAGAATTTTATGACTGGCGGGCTCACCATACATCCTCCTGCCAACAGGACAGTGGTGAGAGAGGACATTAGAAATCTTCCTTGAGAGAATTTTAACAAAAGCCTAAGAGCCTTTACCATTGGAAATACAGCCAAAGGGAAAAATCCATAAAAAACACCCATCCCCCCCATCTCTATGCATGGTAGGAAATGTAGCCATTAAGCCAATGAAAGGAATTAGGATCATTATGAAACACTGGTTGGACTACAGAGAAAATGAGAAACCCTTAAGTGCAATTCATCTTTAGAGAACTCCCTTCCCATCAGGCCTCAGGTCCTACACAGCCATAAAAGCAACAGAGATAAGATAAATAATCACTAGGAGAGCTGACATTTTTACAGTGATCCACAAATTTGAGACGTTCTCTTCCATTTTACCACATTGCAGGTCTGCCCCTTCTAGAACTTCTAAGAGGAAGGATTTTCAGATGCAGAGGCCACTAGTAAGTGACACTGCAGAAGTAGAAGGCAAGCTATCTCATGCTTGGTACCAAAGATGTTGATTTTTATAACATCCTGGAATTAATTGGAATTATGATGAGTATAACTCATTGGTAAGCAAATGTATCTCTTCTGAGAAGCTAAATAAGCACTGTACACATTAAAGGAAAAAGACTGCTAATAGGTGAACAAAGCAGAAAGTGCTGAGGAAATTCAGGCTATGGGAAGCTATAATGAAGCAAATGTTCATTGGCCTACCTTCCCCCAGGGGTCAGAGTGACCAGCAGATTTGGGGGCAATGCTCTGGAACGTCTTGGTCCCTGACCCCTTCTCCTCCTGACTCCAAACCAACTCGTGTTGGCTAAGTCACCACCAAAGTGTCCTCACTTGGGAGATAAGCCCCACCCCACCCTATTGGCAGGGCTGCTTCCTCCTCTCTAGAAGCCTCACTATTATAATAATGAGTGTACCATTATCACACACTCAATATGCAATGGCATTTCACCATTTTTGTGAAATTGTAATACGTCCAGGGAATCATCAAGGACAATCCCCAAGAGGAAGACCAACTAGCAAAATTTCAAACTTTGTTTGTGTGTTTGTTTGTTCAGCAAAACCATCTTCTTACATATTTCCCCTCTGCTTGCTGGAAGGTGACTTTGGTTTGTTCCTTTTTTATCAGATTTTTATTGTCTAAATACTACAGTGTGCCTTCAGTTTGGCCACAGAATAATTTTTTTGGGGGTGATCAGGGGCAACATCCAAATGTTAATCAGCATAGAATCAGATTTACTTAAGCTATGGCATTCAATCCTTTTTATTTCCTCTCATTTGGTTAAAAAGTTATTCAGAGAATTTTTTCAGACTTATATAAAATGATGCATAATCCCTTTGTTCTATGACATGTGTAATGTATTGGTATTTCAGGAAATTTGAGAGTATCAATTCTTTCTTTCCTTTTAAAATATTGTTCAGATGTATGTACAGAGATTTCAGCCTTGTTGCTAACAGCAATATATTTCTCACAAATAGGAAACTGCTTAAGTGAATTATAGACATTCAATATGGATAAATCACTATGCAGCTATTAAAGATATGGAGCAAAATCTATAGAAGTTGATGTGGAACTATCTCCATGACACACTGTTAAGTAAAAAAAGAAAAATGTAGAATAACAAATACATTATGCTATCCTTTGTATTTTGTTTTTAAATATATATTCTTATTATTATTCTTTCATTATATATTCTTTTTTTATTTTACTGGTGCATTTTAGATATACATAATGATAACGTTCATCATAGGGAATTTGTACCTGTATATGATATATCTTGCTTCTTTTTTTCCCCATTTCCTTCCCCTTCCTATAACCTCCCTCCCCTCTTTATATATATTCTTTAGTATTGTTGGAATATTCACCATTATATTATCATCCATTGAAAAAAATTCTTCATGTTTTACAATGTTAATCCTATATTTAGTAATCCTAAATCAGCTAATAAGTTGAAAAAGAGTAATTCAAATACTCTAACTTTTGCCCATATACAATAACAGTAGCATGTAATAACAACTCTGACTACATTTTAATATAATTTAATAAGAAAGCTATTTTAAGACTTCAATTTATCCAGGTCTAATGCAGAGATACTATTATGAAGACTGATGAATAACATTTGTAAGTTTCTGTATTTAAATGATATGCAGTATCATTGAGATGGGGTTTTGCAGGGCAGCTCATCCTTGGATATAAGTAAACTGAGTTCAACTGTAAAAAGCAATAGGTCTCTCCACACTGGCCTTTGTTACTTACTCATCATTGGATCATTCAGATTGAATTGGACTTGACTTATGGTGATCAATTGTGTCTTTTTATATTACAGGACTTAATTCATTATCAGATCCTTGGGGACTAGATTTAGCATTAAATATGTTTGCAGCAGCAGACAAATTCATAATCTGTTGATTCATTGCACTGCCTAGTCATTCTGCCTTCACAGTTACTTTAATTGCAGAAATAGTAATAAGCATATCTGAAAATTACAATGGCACTTTACAGTTTGCAAAAACATTTTTACATATTTTATCTATTAGACTCTTTGCAATCTTGTCGGGGAAGCAAGACAGACTTTATGTCTATGTTACAGATAGTCATAGTTAAATCACCTAATCAGAAAGTGGAGAGCTAAGATTAAAAAGCTGGCTTCCCATTATTCTACTTCATTAGATACATACATGTTACACTATGTATGTGAGAATTCAAAAAGGGTGTATCTGCATATAAAATATATGTGTATTTTATGTGCATGTAAAATGTGTATGTGTCAACTTCATGATTTCTGGTTTTTCTGAATGGGATTCATATACACATTGTGTCATTTGCAGCTGAATCTACCTTCACAATTATATCTAAATTCACATGAGTAGCCAAAAAGTGCTCTTGTGATATGGACCATTCATTTCCTTAGTCTCATTTATGACTCATGCTTTGTGTGGGTGTTGAAAAGAAAAATCCAAAGAGGAACAGGAAAAGATTTCTTTCTACATTTAAATGTAAATAATAGAAAGAGGCTGAGCTAAGTTATAAATAACTGTGAAGTAAAATGTTCTCTGGAAAATCCATGGCAATAGCATTACTTCTGCCTGAGAAATGTCACTACTTGAAGCTATGGTTTGGGAAACCATTTTTGCTGTAAAATAAATGCTTTTTTATAGTTTAATTATATCAGATTGTTTTCCTGAATGGGGGGGCTTACAAATGTAATAATTAGTTTTATACACTTCGGTGATTCTAGATGTATTTTTTTGAAAATATTTAGCATGTATTAAGAAGAGTAACTCAGAGCTGAGGTCAGTGGTAAAGTGTTTTCCAGCACTGGAAAAAAGAGAGGAAGAAGAGCAAGTGAACCTAATCATTTGGTCTGATTTTTGCAGCGAGTATGAGGACATGTTTGTTTTACACATCGAGCAGTTCTTGTCATGACAGGAAAATATTATTTTATGTTCAAATTATCATCATGATTGTTCTTACACACAAACATTAATAAAGACATTAAATAACATCCCCCAGACCAGAATCTGGAAACTTGGACAATATCCATGGCATTGATGTGATTTTGTTGCAGTATTTTTCAAAATTTAATGAAGTTAAGTAATTAAGTTTGCTTTTGGACATCATCCAATGTGTTAAAAGAAATAACCATATCCGGGAAGATAGTGTATCACAGTTTTGTGAACGTGATGAAACTTTCTTCCTCCCTTGAAAGGAAGTACTTGCGTTCAGCAGTACACCCACATCCCTCTTGGCTCCAGCTTCCAGAGTCATCTTGCTCCTAAAATGGTTTCAGAGCCAGAGAGGAGAGGTTTCCAAGCCAGAAAGAAACTTGAAGCTCAAGAGCCAATTGTGTTTTAAATTTTTTAAAGTTTCTGTCCAATATATATAGCAAGTCATAAGCATGCATTTGAAGACTCCACAGGAGTGATTCAACTAATCATAATCCTTCACAGTATTAATAAATAACATAACTTCCCCCACTTTGGTCTAATGCTCTGAGAAGGCTGTAGAGACACAGTTGGTGGCAGCAGATTTTCAAGATTGATTCAGCTAACTTAAGCTAAAGGAAAGCTAATTACCTTGTGTTTGAGTTAATGGAGGGTTTACATTGCACTTGGAAATAATAAGCCATCTCTGAAACTAGTATTTAATCAGCCAATTATTCAACATTTACCAAAATATATAGGTAAGTCATTGTATGTAGCTTTTTTTCTGGGTAATGCATTATAGGAAGCAGGACTACACCAGGGAAATGTTAGCACTCAAAAAATAAACAGACAATAGTCTGAAAATATAAATTATCAGAGCCACAACATGCAAGAAAGCAAAGATGCAAGTACACACATGTAAAAGATATGCTGTTGTTGATGGCCAGGTAAACAGAAGATCAGTTAATCCATAGCTTCAAGGGAAATCAGACACCCAAAGAACTGAAAGCCAGACTTCAGGTAAGTGGGAAAGAAAGCCATGTAACTTGAGCAGGGTCTGCTAATAGGATTCTGAGGGAAAATTTCTTATGTCCTCCCACTGAGACGGGAAACCTTCCACTCAAATTTCATGGTACTTTAATTGATGTGTTGACTTATGATCACCTAAATTAACTTTGTTACCCACATAAGTTGAGTTACACGTTATGACTGTTCCCTTGTGACTTCCCAAGCTGGTAACAAATGGGCAAATTTAAACATGTGGGGGGACAGCTGATGGGTGTTTAAAGGTCAGGCAATAAGCACTCCACCCACGCCTCCAGGTGGAATCAAGGTGCCTGAGTGTTCAGCTTTCCTGAACCTGAAGAGGTTGCTATGAGATGTTATCGTCTGGCTGGGATAGTTGGAGTTCCTAATAGAACTTGAATTTCAAAGTCCATAGGAAACACAACTACAAAGTACTTTCCTTGGCTACTGCATGTTTACCAGGCAGTTACTTAATCCATCTGATTGCACATGGCTAACTACCTCTGAAAACTGTGGTAGGGAGGAAGATCCCAGGGCTTTTTCCTTAACCAGGAGCCTGGCCATAGGGGAAGCTGAGGGAGCTCCTATAGACAGCTCTTTAAGGGCACTACCATTGTTTCCATCTGTCACCTTGGGCCTGAGGTTACAGCAGGGCTCACCCTCAGATTTCAGGTTGAGAGATAGTAAGCAATATGGGAAGGGCAGGAGTTGTCAGGGGTGGAAATAAATGGGGAGGGAGTTGGAGTTGTGGGAAACAAGACACTATATCCAGTATTCAGAAGTCCAAACACTCAGCAGGTTTCCAAGTCCAAGTTGTAGGGTAGGTTAAGTATCAAACATCAAGCAGTTGAAGGCAGACAGAAGCAAGCAGACATGTTAAGGTAACATTTCAGAGGATCCCTATATCTGATGCAAGGATTGTCTCAACCCAAAACTCCTTAGTTCTCCCTTGCCAAAGAATTATTGCCTGAGCATGAAGAAACAGCTATATGCCACAAAGGTAGATTCTGACAAGATGTAACTATTGGAGTTTATTTAATGTCGAAATATGCGACCAAAGGATAAGCTTGAAACAAAAGCAAAAACAAACATGCTTGCATCTATTTACATTACAGCCCATAGGAGTTAGAGCTAACAGAGACCTTTGAAGTTTTGTAATTTAGCCCTTCATTTTAGGGACTACAACTGAGCTCCTGAGAAGTCAAGTAACTTGTCTGAGCACATACAGTGAGCGCAGGGCCAGGGCTGGAACTCCCACCTCCTGACATTCCAGCCAGCATTCTTTCCATTCCCCAGGATTTTAATTTTATTTTTTATTTTTTTTCGATGCTG